TGGAGACTCCTGAAGACCCAAGGTGAGGCATGGTTGTGTGAGATACTTGAAAATATACAATACACTTACTACTTATGCATTTGCAATTTTTGAACATTCTTCCTTTTGGCTGATTGTGTTGCATTTGAAATGTTGTGTTCATGTTATAGTAACATTTTTAGTCTTTAAGATAAGTTATTCACAAAAAAGTAAAAGACAGAAATCCTTTCATCCGTTATCTTTACCCGCTTCTTCCTTTTCGGGTCGTGGGGGGAGAGGGGGTCACTGGTGCCCATGTCCAGCTATCACTGTGCGAGAGACGGGGGACACCCTGGACACGTCTCCAGTCCATATTTAGAGTTACCAATCAGCCTAACATGCATGTTTTTGGTCTGTGGGAGGAAACCGGAGTACCCGGAAAAAACCCACGCATGCACGAAGAGAACATGCAAACTCCACCCAGAAAGGCCCCCCGACTGGGATTTGATCCGGCAACCTTCTCGCTGAGAGGCAGCAGCTTTACCCACTGTTCCACCGTGCCGCCCACAGACAGAAATGAAAACATAAATATAGCTTCTAGTTTGCATGTATTTACATGTTTTTTCTTCTTTTTGTTTAGTGTGCTGTGCTGCAGGGGATTCCTCAGGGCAGCGGACAACACACAGCACAGAGGTTTGGGTGTTCAAGTGTAGTTTGCATGTCAGAACAACAGATGCATTTTTTTTCCACACCCGTTCTCTTCTTCCTCCAGAGAGAAAACACAAATGCCAACAACGAAGAGGTGCACATGCAGAACCAACCAGCAAAGACAGCCACAGCTGGTGATGCGAGCGTCACGCCTCCAGCAGCAGCAGACCGGCTGCACTACGCCAGTGTCAACTTCCAGAAAGATGAAAACACAAGTCCCTATTCAAAGTGCTCCTCTGACAAAAGTGAATGTCACCCTCGTGCAGAAACAACTCTCTACTCTACCATCACAAAGACAGAAGAGTAGTAAAGTCAAATATTTAGTTTTTATTTATCGTGCAACATGATGTCAGGAGTTTGAATATCTGTGCATATACACAGAATAGATGAAAAACTACTCAAAAGAATGGCCTTTAAAATATTATTTGGTCCAGTTTTTGAAAACAAGGTCCTGATGTTTGTTGCACACTAAAAACTGCTGGGTTATTTTGATAACTCAGTGTGGGTTAAAGCTGGTGGGTCATAGATTGGGTTTGTTGGATTAAAAATTTGGTCAAAAGGTTTTATCCAGTGATTGGGTCATATATGAGCCACGCCATTCTACATAGTCTGACATATTTAGCCAGCAGTTCACCAAACTGAACCTGACTGGACCTTTGTCCATCCATTATCTTTTTCCACTTATTTCTTTATGGGTCACGGGGGTCACTGGTGCCCAAGTCCAGCTATCTCTGTGCGAGAGGCGGGGGACATCCTGGACAGGTCGCAAGCCCATCACAGGGACACATATGCCTCTTTTGCACTGCTCCTACTCAGCCCCAACTCTGCTCAGATCAGCCTGGATTTGCACCGCACTTCAGGACGGGTTCTGGAGGCGTGTCCAGAATCCAACATCCTGCTAATGAACTTTATTTCACCGAGTGAGAGTTTTGCAGTGAGACCAACTCAAAGCAGTCTGCTCCTCAGATAAATAATGTTAAATTATTATTTTTAAATAATGTTTCTGTTAACTTATTTTATATATGATTGTTTCTGTTCAGTGCCCTGAGACGACTTCTGTTGTGACTTGGCTCTATATAAATAAACTGAACTGAACTGAACTGAATCTCATGAACCAGATTCTACAAAAACATTTATAGTTAAAATTATATTATGTTTAAAATTCTATATTTTTCTTCATCATTGTGCCTTTTGTTGTTCAATTTAGATACGTGGCTTTGTTTCTTGTATACAGATTTTATTTTAGCTTTGATTTAAAGTGTAATTCTTGTTTTGTGGTTTGTACATCTGTGGATTAGAATAAAGTTGAACCAAAGACTGTATCTCTTCTTTAAACATGTTTGAGGGAAATATTCCTGAGATACAATAATTTTGTCTTTTTTATGATTTTTCAGCTAGGCAGCACGGTGGCGCAACTGGTAGAGCTGCTGCCTCTCAGCGAGCAGGTCCTTGGTTCAAATCCCGGTCCGGGGGCCTTTCTGGGTGGAGTTTGCATGTTCTCTCCGTGCATGCGTGGGTTTTCTCCAGGTACTCCGGTTTCCTCCCACAGACCAAAAACATGCATGTTAGGCTGATTGGTGACTCTAAATTGTCCCTAGGTGTGAGTGAGAGAGTGAATGGTTGTTTGTCTCGTTTGTCTCTATGTGGCCCTGTGATGGACTTGCGACCCGTCCAGGGTGTACCCCGCCCCTCGCACAGTGATTGCTGGACATGGGCACCAGCGACCCCCGTGACCCAAAATGGAATAAACGGGTAAAGAAAATGGATGGATGGATGGATGATTTTTCAGCTGAGTTAACTTTAACAGATTATTTAATAAAGTCAAAGTAAAAACAGGATTTCATGATAAAGCCGGTACCGTTTATTTATTTATTTTTTCTTCACTGATTAAAAAAAAACAACTTTTTTTTTTATACATAAAATGGTATTTTTTGTTTTTTTAAGTTTCCACCTCCGTCCCGGACTCCCGATCCTCTCGCATGCCAGGGCTTGGAATCTGGACTTTCTGAGCACGTGAGGCGGAGGCTCGGGGTCCGGCCTCGCGTGCTTCAACGGGTCGGCAGCTCGCATGATCCTCCGCGGTGACTCCGCTCGCTCGAATTTTGTTGTCGGTCACCAAACACAACAAACGCCTGGGCTTCAGCATCGAACACGGTGTTGTCATTATTGTTTTTAAAATAGATCCAGCCGCTGTTTCGTGTTCCGAGAAATTGCAAATGGCGGATCGGTGACAAATTTCTGACATCCAGTGACTCCTCCAGAGTACCCGAAGAAAACCCATGCATGTACAGAGAGAATATGCAAACTCCACCCAGAATGGCCCCCTGGCTTTAAAGGTTAGATAGTAAAAACAACTTGTAAGAAGATGTTTAACCTCGTTGGCTACTAACTTTAGTTTGACCTATAGACAGTGAGTTTTTTTTTTTTTAAATATCAGTCTGAGTTAGATTATGTTCTCTGGTCATTCTCTCTGGCGCTGTCCTAGGTCGACCTCGGCACACTCGAGAGTGCTTACGTATCTCACCAGAGGGAACTGGCTAATTATACCATTCTTATCAAAACTCCCACTGCCTCTGGAGTGTCCTTGGACACGCTCACCGCCCTTGTCGTCTCCCCTCCCCTACAGAATGCCTGCGCCACTATGCGCTTATGTGCGGGGTGTTTTTTCAATTTCAGGTTATCTTTCCTCAGCCAAGGAATGAGAATCTGTTAGGATTATTTTTTTTTTGCCTCCAAATCCTTTATATGTGTCACTTTCATTACTTTTTGTTTGTCTAAACAGGTCTCACTTGTAAATGAGTCTTCGAGGCTCAGTGTGATTTATTTGTAGAAATAAATTTTGAATGAATGTTAATAGCAGTTAGCTCAGCTTGCTAGTGCCAACCCAAGTTGTGATTATCTAATGACCCAGATTTTGGTTCGTCTTTACTGAGTGAACTTTTTAGTAGCTTTAACTCAACAAATTATTTATTAACAAAATATTTGTTTGAAAATATATTGATCACACAAACAATCGTGTTTTGCTCATGTAAGGACATTATTTTGTAAGAAATATGATTTCTGAAAATCCCAAAGATATAGCCACAAACAGCTTGATGAACTACTTACCATAAAGAATTCAATAAATTCTGGCTCCTTGGGAGCAAAATGTATAAAGATTATCTGGACGGTTTCTTTTCTTTTTTTTGTTGAGATGTTTCATCCTTCATCTAAAGGACTTCATCAATCTGAGGAGCCACAAACAAAATCAGTCCCACAAGCAGCGCACTCCCAAAGTGGATCCAACAGTTTGCTGGTGGGAAAAAAGAAACGTGTCCAGATCACCTGACTGAACTTTGTTGGATTTTTTTTTACCTGGATTATTGAGCATAAACTTTGATGTTTTGAACCACTTTGGCTATGGCTGCCTCAGAGGAGTCGAAGGGGGAGAGGGAGGGCCCCAGAAACCATCTTATCACCAGCAAACTGGTTGGTCCACTATGGGAGTGTGCTGCTTGTGGTTGTGGCTCCTCGGATTGATGAAGTCCTTTGGATGAAGGATGAAAAATCTAAAAAAAAAAGAAACCATCCAGATGACCTGACTGAACTTTGTTGGATTTTTTTTTTTTTTTTACCTGGATTATTGAGCATGAACTTTGATGTGATGGGGAGTGTTGGAACAGAGGTTAGAGAAGATAGGCCTGTAATTGGAAAGTCGCAGGTTCAACTCCCGGTACCATCAACATCAAAATGTGGGTGGAAAAGGTGAAACACCCACACCTGACTCCACCCTCATTTGCCCCACTGTGGACCACTGAGCAAGGCCCTTAACCCCCACCATTTGCTCCCAAAAACAGGTCTCTCTTGAAAACGAGTTCTCGCGACTCAATGAGACTACCTGTATAAATAAAGAGTAAATGCAAAAAAAAAAAAAAAAAAAGAAAAATTATGTATAAAAATTTGCACAATTCTTTATTTAAAAAAGTCGTTAAAACCAACTTTATTGTGATTTTTTTCCCCATGAAAAAGAGGCTGCTCGTGTCTGTCAAAGTGCAAAAAAACCAAACAAACAAAAAAAAACAAACTGAAATATAAAATTAAAGCTTGGACGTAAGCTACGTGCATTCTGACTGACGTATAAACTAACCAATGATTGGTCGAGTTGAATCTGGGGGCGGAGCTTCAGTCTCCGGCGTTGACTCGGCGTCGCCTGACCGGATGGTGATGACTGAAGTTTTCACTGTAAATGTGTCTACTTTTTATCAGGCACTGACCCGTTTAAAAAAAACGGACAGTTTACTGGGAACCATCAAGACTTTAAACGCTTTCCCGTCTCGTCTTTTGAAGAAATAAACAACAACAAGCGGTGACAAACTCTGCGAACTTTTTGTTTACTGCACGAGCGAATTTTCTTGGTGTCTTTTTGGTCGTCGCGAGAGGGTCCAGGGAGAAAGCCCCCAGGGCTCGCCGAGGTGCCGCCATGGGAAACCGGGGGATGGAAGACCTAATTCCCCTCATCAACAAGCTCCAGGACGCCTTCAGTTCCATCGGCCAGAGCTGCAACCTGGACCTGCCTCAGATAGCGGTGGTCGGCGGTCAAAGCGCCGGGAAGAGCTCGGTGTTGGAGAATTTCGTCGGGAGGTTGTATATGCGCCTGAATAATGTTTTTTTTAGTAACTTAAATGTAGTTTTAAAGAATGAAGTCAATGATTGCTTATTTAATTTAAAGAACACATTAAGTTTTGGGGTGAAACTCGTCCACCACGCAGTTAACGCGCCTTGTCTTGGGTCTGTTCCTCCCAGTTTTCTAACGCTTTTCCAACGGATTCTCTTCACGTTTGAGCCGAGCTATTCACAGTCCTTACATACGCACTTTACGTAGATTAACAAAATCACTTAAAAACGCCTTCAAAGCTACTTTAACCTCAGCCCCTCGAAGCTAAAAGAGCAAATGTTGCTTTCTGAGGAGATGCATTTAAAATGTATGCCCGTCAGCTTTTTATCTCTGTCAAACATTGACAAGACCTGTTTTATCATAAGATTTCATGGGCTGTAAATAAGATCTCTTTGCCAGCCATGAAGGTCAGGGTAATGTTTTACTTTTAAAGGTGAGGCAAAAACAGTCTATTCGTGTTTGTTGAGGTTGGATACAAGCCTTATCATACATTTAAAGAAAATCTAAATAAAATAAAAAAACGACTTCTGAGCTCTGCTGTGATTCTTTTATGCTGATGGATCCTATTTAACGAGGACCAAAAAACAGGAAACCAGCTGTTTCATTCATGCCTTGTTTTATAAATGCTTTGCTTTTTTCTAAAGAGGAATCACTTGCTGTGAAGTCCAAACAGAACAACATGACACGCATCAGTCCAAGAGAAAAAGGAGAAGGGAAGAAAGCGTCTCATTGTTGCAGCGGTTTCGTCTCCTAAAGATAGCTGCAGCAGCACTGCGTCATCTAATTCACTCAGCTACGTGTCTGATTAATTTTACTTCTTGTCCAGGATGGTGAATGTTGATTAGGCGTCCGTGTCTCGGTGTTTTCCTGTCCTCTTTTGTCCCTGCACCCCGAGCAGCAGCAGAGGCAGACAGTGGGGGCATTGATGCGTTTGGACGGGGGTCATCAGTGATGTCACCAGCTGCACCGTCATGTGTACATGACACACCGGGTACCAGATACCCACAAAGCTGTTGGCTGTTCCCATCTTCGTTAATTAGCACCACTTGCATGCAGGGTTGCCACTTCGGGGTTTGAAACCAGAGCGCTTACACGTTTGGAGCTTTGATTAACATTTATGTTGTTTGTTAGTTATTGTTTTCTCTGTAACCGTTAGGATCAGTGGTCTCATGTTTGAGTGTAGGATCTTTAAAAAAAAAAGAATGGCTCAAACTATGGAATCGGTTAGATGGAATAGAAAATAGTTTTTCTTTTCAAGTTGACGTTTTGAACAAAGATCGTGTGTGATTTTTATTTTTTTTTAAGCTCCCGGAGTATTTCATGTGGCCGACTCTCAGCTAATGCCACACAAAATTTAGCTTAATATCTGTAAAATGGCTGACTTATAGCTTTTTTGTGTTCTTTTATGTCAGTTTGGTGTGATTGCCATTCGTAATTGGGTTGACTCAAAGTTGTAGATGCACATCCAATAATTCAGGGATGTCCATGAAGGTCACTATCCTGCAGGTTGGAGCGGTTTCTCTGCTGCGACGCACCTGATTTCAATCAATGGGTGATGACCAGGCTTCTGCAGAACATGAAGAGGTGATTTAACTGTTGACTCAGATGTGTTGGAGCAGGAAAACAAGTAAAACATGCAGGATGGCGCCCATTCACCAGGATTGGACACCCCTGCAATAATTACTTTCTGAGAGTTTCATTAAAATCCATCTAGTGGTTCAAGTGATATTTTGCTAACAGACATACACAGATACGTGCAGTTAAACTGTTCCCCACCATTCATGATGGCAAGAGTGAAAGGTACAGTGCGGGATTAGGAAGGCCCAGTCCTCCCTTGCAAAAGAGATCCGTGATCTCAGTGGGATTCGCCTGGTTAAATAAAGGTTAATAAATAAAATGAATAAATTTACGTGTCTAAAGTCAGAAAAAAATAGAAAGAGGTCTGAACTGTATGATTGTAACTATCCAACTTTTTGTGTCCTATGCAAAAAATGCAAAATTGCTTCTTTAAGTCTTACTCGAACCAGTAAACTTATCAGAAAACAAATGGGAGAAACAAACGGTGTATTAAACGATGTGAGTCCAGACAACTGGGTAAATGACGGCTTTGATTGATTAACTGTCTTGTTCGTGTTTCTGTGTCACGAGTGACAGGAAGACATGAGGAAACGGGACTGGACTCATCATTGTGCAACATCCTGACTGCCCTGTCAGCAGTGAACTCCAGGAGCCAGCCTTATAAACGTGTAAATGATCATTTGAAATCCCTTTAGTGCAGATTTATTCTCACTAACTTTATGTTGAAGCCCTCGCCTCTCCTCTAACCGGGCAGTCAGAGTTAAAAACAAACGCAGTAGTGATCTCATTGCCTGCAGAGATTTGAAGGCAGTGACCTGGAAATGATCAAAACTCCATTGACCAGGAGTTTATGTTCTGATGAGCATGGACGTAACGAGAAAACAGAGCGGACTGTTTGATTTGGGCGTGTATCGATGATACACAAGACTTCTGCCGTAAAGCAGATGTTTATAATAATGTTTTTGCTCGTGTTTGTGTCCGTCTGTTACCAAAATGTCTCATAAACCACTGGACAAATTTTAACGATACTTGTAGAAAGTATCCACTGGATGTACAGCTACAGTTATTTAAGTTTGTGAGTCAGTCCAATTCAAGAAAACTGCCACAGCCAATTAAGAGCCAACAGAAGAATGGCTCTACCTCAGTAAACTTATTACTATTATTTTAATTCAGGGCAGTTTATTTCTATAGCACCAAGTCACAGCAGAAGTCATCTCAGGGCACTGAACAGAAACATTCATATATTTAAAAAGTCAGTTAACGACATTAATTATCTGAGGAGCAGACTGCTTTGAATTTAACTCTTTTCTTGAGCAAGCATGAAGGCGACAGTGGAAAGGAAAAACTCCCTCATGAGGAAGAAACCTTTAGCAGAACCAGGCTCAGGACAAGCGTCCATCTGCTTCAACTGGCTGGGTTTGAGGAACAGATACACAATGGCAGGTCGAGAATCACGTTAAGATAGAAATAGTATAAAATGAAAACCATTCAATTTTAATGATTCATTTAAGGTTAGTCCTTACTAGTCTAAGCCTATAGCAGCATAATAAGCCAACCCTAACTATAGGATTTATCAAAAAGGAAAGTCTTCATCCCAGTCTTAAAACTGGACAAAGTGTCAGCCTCACGGACAGAATCTGGAAGATGGTTCCAGAAGAGAGGAGCCTGATAACTGGAAGATCTTCCTTTCTGTTTGGGAAACTCTAGGAACCGCGAGTAAACCTTCAGTCTGAGAGTGAAGTGCTCTGTTAGGAGAATATGGAACAATACAATCTGTTATATAAGATGGAGCTAGGTTGTTGAAGGCTTTGTAGGTTAGAAGTAAGATTTTGAATTAATTTCTGGATTTGACGCGGAGCCAATGGAGAGAAGCTCAAACTGGAGAGATATGATCTCCCACTAACTCCAGCATTTTGGATCAACTGAAGATTTTTTACAGAAGTATTTGGACACCCAGATAACAAACCATCATTGCAACAGTCCAGACTAGACGTGACAAATGCATGGAGCAGTTTTTCTGCATCATTTTAGATGAGATGTTTCTCATTTTAGTGATATTACGCAGGCGGAAGAAGGCGGTTCTAGTAACGTTTTTAATGTGGGGGATAAAAAAACATGTCCTGATCAAAAATAACCATGATTTTTAACATTAGAGCTGGAGGCCAGATTAATGCCATCCAAGGAGGGAGAAAGACTGAAAAATGTATCCCTAAGAGGTTCAGGTCCAAAAACTAAAACCTCAGTCTTCTGAGATTTTTAAACTCAAGACAAGAGTTTCCAGATATTGAGCTACATTTTGATGTGGTAGTAGCTGAGAGTCGTTCGCATCTTATTGCATGAGGTCACGCGTGAGGTTGTTTTCAAGGTTTGACCAAAACGGCTACAATTCCGTCGTTTCGCATCATAAAATGATTTTAGTTTTAACCTCTGGCACGAAAGGTGGCGGGCGATAGGCATTCCTTCAAGGAATGTTAGCCTTTTAATTATGGTAGTTAACTTAAGTTTAGTGTTTTGAAAAACTTTTCATAATGAAATGCTGTCTTCTTTCATATCAGTGTTTAGTTTGTAGAAACAACATACGTTTATGTTTGATCAAGGCTTTTTATTTAGTCTGTATATGAAAAAATGATTTGTTTGTCGTTTGATTCGTTTTCCTGCAAATATCCAGAAGTTTGTTTGTCTGTTAGTGAATTAAACCTCATCTCTCAATGCCCCTCAGGGACTTTTTGCCTCGAGGATCCGGCATCGTGACCCGTCGTCCGCTCATTCTACAGCTGGTTAACAGTAAAGCAGGTGACTCAAGTGCAAAACAGTTGATGCTTAAAATGGAAATTAAAACTGAAAGCCACGATGTGCAAATCATTGTATTTTTTCCATTAAAATATGGTTGAAAACATTTACACATCATGACCTTCAGTTAAAGAATATTCAGGATGTTATAGCAACTGAAAAAAATGTATTGTTTGTTGAAAAACACATGCTTAGAGCAAAATGATTTTCAATTCCTTGTTAAATTTAGAATCAATTCTCATCATTCTTTTCATTCTTAAAAAAAAAAACAATATTTGTTGAGGGTAAAGGTTTGGACTGCAGGAAGGCTTTCAGATTTATTTTCCTCTGCAGCCATGCTTGTTTAATTTGTGCAGAATCTTGTTTGGTATTTCCTCATAAAGAAAAAAAAAATCTTAAAATAGACCATTTGGATGTCAGCATCGTCTTTGAGGAAGCATCATGATGGATGCTGACTGTCTGCAGACAATGAGCTAAATGGTCCAAGTTCTCTTTAAGGGCTTCGGCTACAGTCCATGTACAGCGTGGCCAGACTCGGAGAAGGTGGCTGCATTCAACCTTCACAAGTTAGTTTCTAAAATTAAATGTCAAGATATAATTTCTCAAAGTGACAATTCAATTCAGTTTATTCATACAGTGCCAAGTCACAACAGAAGTCATCCCAGGGCACTGCACAGAAACATACATATACCTGTACATTGAGCAAGTTTAAAGGCAACAGTGGAAAGGAAAAACTCCCTCATGAGTCAAGTCAAATTTATTTGTACAACACATTTAAAACTAACTGTTACCAACGTACTTAAAGGAAGAAACCTTGAGCAGAACCCGGCTCAGGACAAACAGCCATCTGCTTCGACTGGCTGGTTTGGTAGGAACAGGAAGGAGGAACAGATACACAATGGCAGGTCAAGAATCACATGTGAAGATAGAAGTAATATCAAATGAAAACTATTCAGTTTTAACAATTTATTTAAGGAAAGTAGGTCAATTTGTCCTCCAGTAGTCTAAGCCTATAGCAGCATAACAAGCCAACCCTAACTATAGGATTTATTAAAAAGAAAAGTCTTGAGTCCAGTCTTAAAACTGGACAAAGTGTCAGCCTCACGGACAGAAACTGGAAGTTGGTTCTACAAGAGAGGAGCCTGATAACTGGAAGATCTTCCTCCCATTCTGTTTTTGGAAACTCTAGGAACCGCAAGTAAGCCTGCAGTCTGAGAGCCAAGTGTTCTGTTAGGATCCTTTTAACATGATTTGGATCTTCTCACTCTTTAAATATATTTAATAGCTGTCTTTTCTCTTTTCTTTAGAATATGCAGAGTTCTTGCACTGTAAGGGACGCAAGTTTGTGGACTTTGATGAGGTCCGTATGGAGATTGAAGCAGAGACTGACAGGCTCACCGGATCCAACAAGGGCATCTCTCCCATCCCAATCAACCTTCGTGTTTACTCTCCTAATGGTAACACACACATTGAAAATTACTCTGTTTGGAGGTTTGTAAACCCTTTCTGAATGACTTCATCCTTCTCTCTGTCCTCGTGAACTCTCAGTGCTGAACCTGACCCTGATCGACCTGCCGGGGATGACCAAAGTGGCTGTAGGCGACCAGCCTCCAGACATTGAGCATCAGATCAGAGACATGCTGCTGCAGTTCATCACTAAAGAGAGCTGCCTGATCCTGGCCGTAACCCCGGGCAACACAGACCTGGCCAACTCTGATGCTCTCAAGATAGCCAAGGAGGTGGACCCCCAGGGTAAGGATCCTCCCCGTTGGTCCGTCCTTCTGTCCGTGCATGTTGTGAGCATGATAACTTGAAAAATAAGCGATATGCCAACTTCCATTTTGATGTTTGGATACGCCTAAAAAAATTAATAAATAAAAATTGGGTTGTCACATCAAAATCCAAAATGGCTGCCAACATGCACGCATACACACACACACACACACATATATATATAT